GTCTTAGCTCATCATGCCAGAATTCAAGTAACCAGGTATTGTGCGAATGGATAAAGTACTCAAAGATATTGACTGTTAGTTCTCGCCCCGCACCTTGGGACTAGTTGAGTACCCTAAATTGAACATACGGACATCTTTACTGATGAGTCCGAGAGTTAATAGGTGGTATAGTCCTAGCCATTCAATTTTAATCCAGTCGCTCAGTAAGTGACTTAATCACTCTGCTGTAAAATTTGCATGCTTGAGTCCGTGGGAAGGTAATTTCTTCGACCAAGTAGTCCGGTAGCATCCGAATCAAATCACCATCGCGGTCTGTATCAAGCTGAGGGCGATATGTAAATTGGACGTCATCGTAACTATCGGAAGCATCTCCGGCATCCAGTGAAAGCTTGAAGTGTAGAGCTTCAACAAGTTAGCATTGTGCTTTGTTAGTGTTGAGTGTCTCTTGGGAAGCTTACTCCCGTTCCTCCCAGTTTGAATGCAGTCGAAAACACTTCCACCGTCACCGCGTTTCATCCCCCGGACAATAAGACCTGTTAAGTCGCCGTACAGGTCTTCCCTTGCTTGCGCCGCTCGAACAACTTCCGATGGGGCTGATTTGTGGCCTATTACCCCAGGCTTTAATGCGCTTCCCGGATTTTTTACACAAGCTTCCGCGGCTCTGCTCGCCGAGAGTTTAGCGGAGAGCGATTTTATCTCAGACCGGGCACTCGATAATGATGCCTCCAGGCCACATATTTTGCTTTCCAAGTCGCAAACGTTAGTTTCACTACGCTCTAATTGCTGGCGTGCCTGCTCGCCGTGCTTCGCCAGTGCCAATTGTACATTCAATTCCTCTTTGAGCGATTGAATAAGTTTGTTTGAGGCTGCCGACATGTCAGATATTCCAAATTGAAGGTGTCAATATAATAATGGATATTCTCCCATTGACTGCAGGGCCAAAGCCTTACCTGCCGTATTTTCCTCTGACTGCTGTTTCAGCCTTTCAAAATTGCGTTCTGCGGCTATCATTCCCACTTCGCGCAGCTCGTTGTGTCGTGTTTTTAGCGAGTCGTACTTCTTTATCAATTCTCCTAATCGCCTCTGAGTTGAAACCTCGTCCATATTATTGGTATATTCCGCTGGGAATTGCTCCTCTGCGTCAATGACAGGCTCTGTCTCTTGCTGTCCTAGCTGCTCAACGCTTTTCGGCTCCTCGTGACCGTTCTCGAATGTTGGTTCGTGCTCCTTCTCAATATTTTGAGTGTATAATTTGCCCGAAGATCCTGTGTTTCGTGATAAGCCGGCTAGTCGCCCCTGCTCATGAGATGAAGAAAGATTTGGATATGATTTTCCTAAGGCGATCTTGTCTGGTTCGTCCATATGTTTTCCGTGGGCTCCAGCTTGTTGAATAGTATTGTTTTTGCTCTTCTCCATTAATATTTGCCTCGCCATCGCGGGTAGTTTTAAATGACCCGTGCCGCTCTTAGCGCTTTTCGTTCTTTGGAACGGCTTCGTTACTCGGGTTGTAGAGTTCGCGGTTCGGTCACGACTTCGCTTAGATGCTACAGCCTTCCCAGCAAGCTCCTGAGAAGATGGCATACCAATCGCTTCCACATCGTCGAAATCTGGTTCAGAATCGGAGAGGACCATAGACGCAAGGTTGCCCACCACATGCGAATGACGAGCCATCTGTCATGTGGAGCAGTAAAATTGAGAGTGACGAATAGTCGTATATTTGAAAATAGATGGCTTTTTGTAATGCGGCTTGAGGAGACAAATTATCCTCTGTCGCTTCATCCAGCCGAGAATCAGGAAATCTTCAACAGTATTATGATGTGGACGAGATGCTATTATGTTGTGGGTTCCTCTAAACAGGCCGATGGTACTTCCGTTTTGGGTAGAATGTAAACAACTCGTCATGTCATCCACTGCCTTAGTGCGCAAGTTACGTAAGCATGTACGTACAGTACATACTACTACTACTTTACGTACTAGTGCCTCATCTGATGCCACGGGTCCTTCTCCGTAGCAGAGGAGAGTGGCAAACATTGTGCCAAAAGGGAATAGACCCTAGTACAAGTGGATACGTAGCACATGAATGCGAAGACGGTGCTCCGTACTCCATACTCCGTTAGCAGATTCGACTTACCACATACACTCATGACAACATCCCAATCTAGTCGTTTGAACATACCGTACAATAGCTTTTGAAAGCATGCAAGGCGACTGGAAAATCCTTCGTTTCTCCACGTGTACGCTTGATCAACCATCTGCGACAACTTTTTATCAGTTGTGAGAGATCTTGACAGGGCAAGCCCCAATACGTCAGAACATCTCGGCTCAGCGCTTTCTCTATTTACTAAGCCATACCCTGATGCCCGGGAAATCAGTCCTGTGGCTGCATTCAATTCTCGGTATGGGTGAACGACGGAAACTCGGCGATGTCGCCCTTGACCTCTTATTATTTGCCGGCATGGTATGTCATACCTAACTGGGTCGGCCCGCGTCTAACCCCCCCTGAGAGAAACTTACATGTTTATTGACCATAGAGTTTATGACATAGATGACAGCTGGACTCTATGTTGCCAGAAATCTTCTCACCCCGATGCTGAGCAATCTGGCTGACCCCGACAAAGAAAAACACGAACAAGCTAGACGGCAGGCTAAGGCACACCTCGAGCGATTGACTCGTCAGCGGAATATAGACAGAGATGGAGACGACGAGAGCGGAGATGCCAGGAGGATTCAAAGCGTTGAGGACCTGGTTTTGAACGAGTACGAGAACTTGGTTGCGCTGGAAATGGTCGCCCCAGAGGACATACATGTCGGATTTGATGGTGAGATACATGCCCTACTTTGACTGTGAATAAATGGTCATATAGTATTTCTGAAACGAACTGACTGATGTTTTTTCATTCACAGATATTGGTGGGCTTGATTCGATTATTGAGGAGCTAAAAGAATCCGTGATATACCCACTTACGATGCCGCATCTGTATTCCCACGCTGCGCCTTTACTGTCAGCACCGTCCGGAGTGCTTCTGTTTGGACCCCCGGGTTGTGGAAAGACCATGCTTGCAAAGGCGTTAGCCCATGAAAGCGGAGCTTCGTTCATCAACCTTCACATCTCAACCATGACAGAGAAGTGGTACGGTGATTCTAACAAAATAGTTCGTGCTGTCTTTTCCTTGGCACGCAAAATGCAGCCAGCTATCATATTCATCGACGAAATAGACGCGGTCCTAGGAACAAGGAGGAGCGGGGAGCACGAGGCCAGCGGTATGGTCAAAGCTGAGTAAGGTTTTCTTCGCAGTCTTCCGTACATGGTCTGGATTTTAACACAGAGGCTAGGTTTATGACATTATGGGATGGCCTAACATCGGCCAATGCATCGGGGATGCCGGCTCAAATTGTCGTTTTAGGGGCTACAAACCGCATACATGACATTGACGAGGCAATTTTGCGCCGTATGCCCAAAAAATTTCCGGTGCCCCTCCCTGGCCTTGAACAGCGACGCAAAATATTGCAGCTCATTCTACAGTATACAAAGACAGACGCAGAGCATTTTGATTTGGACTACGTATCGAAGATCACTGCAGGAATGTCAGGTAGTGACATCAAAGAAGCTTGCCGTGATGCTGCCATGGCACCCGTCCGGGAGTACATGCGACAATACAGAGGTGAGGGGCGGCGAATGGCTTCGGTTGATCCCAGCCAATTTCGCGGTATTAGGACAGACGACTTTCTCAGCAATCGAGGCAGCCATATAGACAAGACGGATGGCAAGAGCGCCAAAAACGCGGGTGACAGGAGAAAAAACAAGAGCCGAGGGTCCGGTGGCGAGTATGAAAATGTGGATGAACTCCTGGTCGAAAGCCAGGATTAGGCAGTGCTGGAATTGGCTGCTGGTGAAACCTTTGAGAGATAGTGGTGTCACTGACAACGATCTGAAGCATCAAATTTCTGTTGCTGTGCTTTAATATGACCTCGATAGCGTGCAGTCTGATGTGACGCGCCTTTCCGCTAGCTATGTCTAGCCACCTGCCTGGATGTAGGTAGAGAACCTATTGATGCCATCACATTGTGCAATAATTGCACATGCACAGATTTAGAGGGCTATTTACCTTTAGGACCTTGATACCGTACAGAATTTTTACGGATTATTACGCGTTAAAACATTGGAACTCGAGTCTTTTGATGCGCTGTGAAATGGAAGTGTCTTTTAAGACATTCGAAGTTGACTTGACGTCGCTGGAAAAACTGGCTAATCGATGTCTGGTTGAGCGTACTCTCGAGGAGCACCAACACGGTACGGAGTCCTCCGTAGTACTAGTGGCTATCCTTGAGATCACGCCATTGGGGGCTGCCCCACCGAGCGGTTTGAGGAGACGTCAGACTTTTGCTGTTAAGCCAGGATGATTATTGCCTCCGTTCATCGGCATCGGCATTATCGCTTCGTTTCGAGGCGGTGGAATGCCGCGCAAATACCGATACACATTACTGATAGGATACGGACCCGACGCTGGCGGTGATCGGTGATGAGCTTAGGGTAGGAATGATTCCGGCAGGTACGCCGTATTGTAATAATACCTACCTACTTAGGTACCTAAGTAGGTACCTAGGTAGGTATGTACCTCTAAGTACTTAGTAAGTACTCAAGTAGGTAGGTAGACACAGTTGCGGCACGACACAGTCGGGGAAATGCGATCCAGTGCTGGGTTCTTATGCCAGGCCCACTCCTGAACCCCAGAATCGGACACGCAGCTATTATGGAGCGGCGGTGACTGATGATGGTGCCGCAGTCACCTCTTCTGCCCTGGTGCACTGTGCTCTCCACAATCTCTTCCCGAGTTTCCTCCTTTCAATGCCCTACATTTCCGCTCCAACTCAAATCTCCCTATCCAGATCCTTTGGTTTCGGCCAAGTGATTGCCAATCCCTTTGGCTTCTCACACTTGTCACCCGTGGCCTGCTGGTACTAGCAATTTAGGGGCCGTCTCAGCCGACAATCGCAGCAATATGGCTTCCTCGAAGCCTATCAACGCGAGTGCTACCAAGAGCGTCACAGGTCCTGCTAAGACTGATCTTGATGGACACAATCTTCCTCCATCCCCAGCCCCGTCAAGTCCTCGGAATGGCCGCCGACGCTATGCTTTGGCAACTGAATTGGTCTACACCGAAGGCAAGGACCAGTATGGTGCCTCAAGCATCCCTATCTACCAATCTGCAACATTCAAGCAGACTTCGGCTGCTGGCGGTCAGCAAGACTATGACTACACACGATCCGGCAACCCGACTCGAACGCATCTCGAGAGACATCTCGCCAAGATTATGAATGCAAATCGCGCACTTGCTGTGAGCTCCGGTATGGGTGCTTTAGATGTCATCACTCGTTTGTTGCGCCCCGGCGACGAGGTTATCACCGGAGACGACTTGTATGGTGGTACCCATCGCTTGCTCACGTATATGGCCACGAATCAGGGCATCATTGTGCATCATGTTGACACCACAAAAGTCGATGCCGTTCAGGCGAGAATATCCGACAAAACAGCCATGGTTTTACTAGAGACTCCGACGAACCCCTTGATTAAGATAGTAGACCTAGCGTCTATTGCTCAAATGGCTCATGACGCCAATTCCAAGGCTCTGGTTGTAGTTGACAACACCATGCTCTCTCCGATGCTGTGCAATCCGTTGGATCTGGGGGCAGACATTGTCTACGAATCCGGCACCAAGTATTTATCTGGGCACCACGACATCATGGCTGGTGTCATTGCTTGCAACGAGGCATCCATCGGAGACAAACTATTCTTCACAATCAATTCGACTGGTTGCGGTCTGTCTCCTAACGACTCGTTTCTCCTTATGCGTGGTGTCAAGACTCTTGCTATACGCATGGAGAAGCAACAAGCCAGCGCGCAGGCGATTGCTGAGTTTCTTGAGTCTCACGGGTTTCGTGTTCGGTACCCAGGCCTCCAGTCGCATCCGCAATATGATTTGCATTGGTCTATTGCGCGGGGAGCTGGTGCCGTTTTGTCTTTCGAGACTGGAGATGCAGCCATGTCGGAGCGAATCGTGGAGGCTGCAAGGCTATGGGCAATCAGTGTCAGTTTTGGCTGCGTGAATAGCCTCATCAGTATGCCGTGTCAAATGAGTCATGCAAGCATTGATGCAAAGACACGTAGAGAGAGGCAAATGCCCGAAGACATCATTCGTCTCTGTGTAGGGATAGAAGATGTGAATGATCTGATTGAGGATTTGTCCCGTGCGGTAAGTACTATATTTATAAACCAGTTACGAAATTGTTTGTTGAAATACTGATTGAAAATTGTTGTAGCTCGTTCAAGCTGGAGCCGTGACTGTTACATTGGACGGGTTTCATGCAACTGGTGCTGCAGCAGAGCTAGGCAAGACACCACTCACCCAAGAGTAATGTAGATCAAGGCATGAATATGAACCTGTGAAACGAGCTTCTTTTTGAATATTGGACGCATATCATGTGCATTCTTTCAACTAGTACACACGTTGCGTGTTTTTGAATCTATCGGCAACAAATCCCATGCAGGGCCCTTTACTAAATGCTTAGCGGAGTTTGGGCCAGGTCACTAATGAGGGTGTTCTGGGAATCTAAATTGATGGTGTGCTTTTCGAAACAAACGACACCCTGAAGTGTATTATAGAAGTGGGAGCGATCTCACATGATTTCATGAGGAGGTTAGCACAAGGAGGTCAAATCCAGCCGGTAGAGTAGTAGAATCAAAAGACGTTCTGAATCAAGCAGAGTAATCCACGGCGTCGCCATCATAGCTACAATGACCAAAGGCAGACACGCTATCAATCTGTAGTGGTTTCACATTGACACTCAACCTCTGGAGTAGAATTATGCAAGAATTTGCCCTCATGTCAGCGTCCTTGAACAAGCGATAGAGTAAAAATGCCAAGGTTTGTGCTTGCAAATGACCGCAACGAAGAGAGAACAGATGCAACATGCACTCTCAGTGTGCATTATGTGGACTGATCTAGAGAGAAAGCGACAATTACAATTTAATGAGGCAACCGCAACACCAGTTGGATCTGCAAGCGGACGCCAAGACTCCCTACTGATAAAAGTAATGCCCAACACGAGACATCAACAACCTTCAAAACTCGTTCAAAACTCAGGAGAATTCGAATCGATCAGGAAGAATGATTGGCGCGACCAAGCTCCAGATGTACAACCCATAACACACCCAGGCGCTAACTATCTTGATCCAGCTCGCTGCATACGTACGGCCCACAGTGGCGAAGTCGCGATCCCTAGTGCTCTCCTCGTACTGCATCGTTAACAACGTTGCGACCCAGGCCGTAGCAAGGAAGAAAATGATATGGAAGACAGTGTAACTGTACTGGGTTCGAGAACGCTCGTCGTCATGCGGTGTGCTCTCCTCAGAGTCACCTTCATCATCTGATAGGAGGGCGTTTGCCGGCAAACTGCCTTCTTCAACAGCCCGGCGCAACGCCTCCGCCCTCATCTCTCGTCGGGCACTTGGTTGCTGGGTGACCAGGCCGTGTTCATCATCCTCAGGCAAATGTATTCCGCCCACATTGCCCCCGAGACCCAAACTCTGCGTAGCTGCACGAGTCGTTGTATAGGCCACTGTCAGCATTGTCACGATGGCGCCGATCACGACAGAAGTTGTCCTGGTACCCTGTGCTCGGATAAGTGGGTTGCAGTGCTTGTCGTCAGGTTCCATTGATACGGCAGACATCGTCAGGTAGGTGCAGTACACTGAAACCATAGCAGCCTGTGCCAGGCCAGCTTTCGGGTTGAACTCCTGCACCTTTGGATTGATGGAAATGAAAGAGACAGCCAACCAGAAGAGTAGGTTTATTGTGATGACGGCTTGGTTCATATGGCAGTCCCCCTGAGCAAAGAAAATGTACTGAACCACCGTCATCGCGACGGACCCAAGATACATACCAAGGGTGGACCCAATAAGCACAAATCTCCAAAATCTGGAATCGGTATCTTCGATCTGTCCCAAACAGTACTCGGCCCAGGTGTGTGCTAAGTCAACAAGGAGAACTAGACCAAGGATCAAAAATAACATGGCGCAAACCAGAGAAATATAGTTTCCCCAGAATATAAAGAAGTCATTCGGTATAAGGAAGGCAATGACAACGAGAGCCAGCCACACGATGACCTTGGGTCCCCAATAACCATTCTGAATGGCTGCGCGAGGGTGTTTAGAAGATGTTACTCCAAAAAGCATGCCGGCGAGGACAAGGTGAAAGAGTCCGAGAGCAAAATTGATTCTGTGTACAGCAAGCCAGCCGTAGCACTCTCCATTCGGACAATTAATCTTAACGTAGTCGAGTGCCAGGTGTTGTAGTTTTTCGATGGCCCAAGGTGTTAGCATTATCCAAGCTAGAATTGAATTGACCAGAAGAAGGAGGGCGTAGGCGATACGAGTAGCAACACTAAGGGACGTCTCTCATCAGCTTATGTCTCCACAGAGGCAAGAACCCTGAGCCAAAGCAGACTGAGTTTATCGTACCTGTTGCCGCACTTCCCGCAGGCACTGCAAACCATGGAGCAGGTGGCGGCACCACAGCAACTTGCAGCGAATGAAAGCACCTAACAGAGAAAAGCGTGTCAGCCTTTCGACTGATATTAGTAGAGGAGGATAAAACCGGGTGTCGTACAGTGCTCATGCTGGGGACTGCGAGCAGAGGGAGGGAGAGTATTGCGCCCATTTTGTTGTCGTCGCTGTGGCTTGGAAGTCCACGACTAGACTTCTGGTGTTGAAACACGCGCGAGCGCGATGTGTAGATTCTATGCGCGAGTGACTCCTACAGGACTAATGGTAGGACAATATAATGTGACAAGACACCCAGACAAGGGCAAAGCGTGAGCCGCGGATAGTTTCAACTGACCTGACCGTACGTACGTCTTGGTCTTCGCAGGCGGCCGCGGCAGCTCTTAGAACATGACGTGGAGGCGGATGATAGGATTACGTAAGGCACCATGTTTGCGATTGGCAAGCAAGTTGCACCCACAACAGAACTTGGACAAGCCGCGCGCATTCTTGACTTAACACTCCATAATCCGAGCTAAACGGAATTACATACTGTCGCACAGTATAAGGGATATTAACTCATCAATACATGTGGCGTGGCCACGCCCATTTTTTGGTGCGATATATACTTAACCAGTCATCTCCTTACCTATCAGCATCCAAGACCCGCAAGATTTACTAGATAAAGTACCTAGGTACCTACCTAGGCACTCCTGAGGGCCTCAAAGGTGCATGTCCAAGCTTGAGACTTTAAGTCGAATCTGACTATGAGATAAAAGACAAGGATTTACAGGAATATGAGGATCAGTTGACGAGCACTGTCAACTTGTGTAACGGCTAAGGTTCCCAAG